CAGTTTTTTGGAATTCTTGGATTTTTGAACCCAAATTCGTCTTAACGGAGCTCACGCTAAAGGCCCAATCCCCAGTCCAGCTCATAAATTGAATCGGCTTTATGGCCCAGTTTGGACTTTCGAGTCGGCCCGGATCCCATTTCATCTATAGTGATATTTTGTGTACTTAATTACTAATGGACCTACAAAATAGTAGTATTTCTAATAAAACACTCTTATATTACCATGTAAATAAAGCTAATTCTGATTAAACAGCTGAGGATTCTTTGTTTTTTTTTTTTTCACTTAAGGGTATTCTAACCTTTCGATCAGACTAATCTCCTAAAACTGTTTAGAATCTTGTCCAAAAATACAGAATGAGGTAGCATATGAGAGTTGTGATGATCACAGAGCTCATAATTCTTTGTTGAATGCTCAATTTTGTTGGTAAATGAAACAAACCACACTCTCCCACGAAGACATGACATGCGTGCAAGACTGGCTTTGTTTAGGGTGATTGGTTCAAATATCCGTTTGTCCACCACTTCTGAAAAGGGAAGAGAGAAATGGAATGTGTATATATATATATATATATATATATATATATATACATATTTATAAAATAAAATAAAAAAATACTACAGACCTAATTATTGACAATGGATAAGGTTAGTATCGATGAAAATACGATGATGTCATTATCATCATCTGACTGTGTCGAGCGACAAACAGAGAATTTATCAGCACAGAGAGATAACTTGTCAAATTTGTCTTAAATGAAAGAAAATAGACGCACAGGCGCGGGTATAGCCAATTTATTGATTGCACCGCTAAGACATATTATATGACAAAGGAATCAAGAAGAGTTTGACGTTCGAAGGAGAAATTTATTGAAAATTATTTCATACGCATAGTAAGAACTATAAGAAGCTTTTACCCCAATGCCTTAGTATTATTCTATTTACTCATTTGTTTTCAAGATTCTGTATAACGAATGCTTGCTGAAATTTGTTAACATATACTGCATGTGTTAAATTTTTTAAATAAATAAAAAGTTAATTGAAAAAGTATATATATATATATATAAAGAAGAATAATCATAGTTAATATAGCGCGTATTCATACGGTAGGTAGATTAGACGTGTTAAGTAAATTTTTTTTTTTTTCCAATACATCAAGTCCATATGATTTTTTTTTCAAAAAAAAAAGCTAAAAAAAAATAAATAAAAGGCATTTTCCAATACACCCCCGCATATGACGACACTCTCGTACTCCTCACTGATGGTGACATGTACTTTAGTTGTGGATAAAATCCCAATTTAACTCCGACGACGAGACTTGATTCAGTGCTGCGGCGTTTCGACATTTTAGAACGCATACATCCGGCAGCCTTTCGACTCTCTGTTTCACTTCGATTCCCTGGCGTTTCCTCAGTCCCATTCCCGTGCCCTCCTCACGAGATATGACGATAGTCGCCGGCGGCGTTGCCCCCAAAAAGAGACAACGCGTCGGAAGCAACAGCCGCTTCCCTTCCACCGTCGCCGTCATCGACTCCTCGCGTCCCGACGACTCCCTCAACGAAGTCTCTCATAAACCCTTTGGTCCCCGCCGCTCCTCTTCTTACTCTTTAATCCCCGCCTCCTCCTCCTCCTCCTCCTCCTCCGCTTCCTCTTCCGCTGGTGGATTCAATGACGCTTCGACCGCCGATGTCGTCCTCCGTCTTTATGTCGAAAATTCCTCTCCGTTCCTCTCCGACGACTCTGAGTCCATCTCCGCCGTGGATCAGGCCGACGTCCAGATCTATCTCCACTCCGGTGTCCTTCGCCGCTCCAGGTACTTCTCCGCCTTATTGTCCGATCGCTGGCACAAGGAATCATGCCCTGCTGACGACGTCGTTGTTTCCTCCCCGGTCATCTATCGCTTCAACCTCGGCGTTTCTGCCACTTATGGCTCCATCGATTATCATCTCACCGTTCTTCAACTTCTCTACACCAACGACTTCTCCGACGTCGTCGATACTGCCTCCACGGCTCTCTCTTTGCTCCCCGTGGCGCTCGAATTGCTCTTTGAAGACTGCGTTAGGGCTTGCGTTCGATTCCTCGAGGCGGTGCCCTGGACCGAAGACGAAGAGAAGAAGGTTTTGGGCTTAGTCCCCTTTCTTAGCGACGAGGAGTCTCAGGAGCTTCTGGCTAGGGTTTCACCTGGTAAGATTGATTCCTCTGAAGAAATGCTTCACGGATTAATCATGTCTGCTATCCACAATCATCCCAATACGGCTTTCGCTAAGGCTTTCGTGGCCAAGTTGTTGAGGGATTTTTCGTCCAAGGAGTCTGCCAGGAGAGTGTTGGATCGCGCCTTTGAGACCAGCTTGAAGATTGTCAAGGAGTCGTTGGAGGAGTACTCGAGTCCTGATTTTCGTGGAGATCATAACGAGACTGAGGCTATCCAGAGGTTGAATTTGCACACTGCGATGACTAATGGGAGGCATTTGTTGTGGTTGGTTGAAAGGATGATTGAGCTCAGAGTAGCCGATACGGCTGCGGAAGAGTGGAGCGACCAGGCTTCTTTTACTGCGGATCTGCAAAGGGCTTTTCGCGACGATGCCTGGAGGAATATTGTGCCGGGGCTGCCCGCTGTCGTTCTTAGGTGCACTTGCAAGCTTGCCAATGCTGTTGCCACAGGGAACATTCTGGCTGCTAGACAGGTATTTGTCTTGACAACAACTACAGCACTTGCGTGGTATGGATGTATCTTAGCTTTGCTAAGCATGCCCATTGTATCATACATGTTCGACAGTAGCTACTCTTGTATTTTTTTTTTTCCCCTTCTATTCATTCTAAAAATGCATTATCCTGTTGCAATACTTCAAGGTTGTTTAATGACAACGGGACGAAGTTGAAACAACTGAGCTTTCAACTAAATCCTTGCGACTTGTTCTTATGTCAGTCAAGACCTTTTCCAGATTGACAGGACTTGAAACACTTTTTCCTGTTGATAGATTAAGGTTCTCTTGATTTGACTGTGATTAGTCAACTTACCTCGAATGGATATTTGTGTACTTTGAGTGCTCAGAATGGTTCATGCGTCTATGTTCCCTGAACAGGTTAGAATGAAGCTTGTTAAAGATTGGCTACCGGTGTTGATCATATGCAAAGAGAATGTCTCCCATATGATGTCAAGCCACAAATCACTTTACCAGGAGCTGGAAGAAACATTTCTGAGAATCATATCCACACTGCCCATGTCAGATGCCCAAGAGTTGTTGCAGCAGTGCCTCAGCTTTTCAACTCGAAATGTTGATGATTGTCCTCACTTGGTCACTGCATTTACAACCTGGTTTCGACGTGCTAATCGATCTTTGCCGGCTGAGAGCCTTCGTCAATGATGGTCTTCAAGTCATGATAGGCTTTATTGGCTACAAAGTCGATTGTCATTTGGGGAGGGACACTGCTATGTTTTGAAACTCTTATGTGTAGATGATTGTAAATTAAGCTTACTGTATGTTTGACGTCGCCCTTCAAGCAACCGGGTTCCGCTTCTTTCAGAAGAAGCATAGGGGGGTTCTTGGTGGCAACCATGCTCCTATCTGAACCAGTCTTATTTAGTATAGTTCTTGCTGACTGATATCAAAGTGGAGATGTTGTCATTACCTCACAAGAAGAGGTTGTACGCTGTAAATGATGAACTTGATCCTTTTCTGTAAATAGATGTAACTTTGTCTGCCTCCGCATTTCTTCCTTTTGTCGCTTCCCTGATTAATACTAGTCTTTAACGGGTTTGTTTTACCGTGGATCGAGCCATAGAAGTCCTGCTGCTAATTGTTCTTTAGTTTTGGTACCAATTTCAGCAGGCAAAACTGGGCACCCGACAGCTCATCAAATCACGCCAATCTTGAAGATGCTTCCCTTTGGTGTAATTCATGATTATTAAAGAAAGAGTAACGAGCATCAATTGGGATGGGAACATAATTTGGAATTCCTCCAAAAAAAAACCTACCACGTTTTCCCAGTCTTCCTTCATCTTTGCATGATTGACACGCTAATGCCCTCTCGCATCGTAATTTGAAGTAATTAACGTCTTCTTCTAATTTGAAGTAGCAGTATTTTGTGGTCGTCTGTCCTTGACGCGATTGAGAAAGTTAAAAAAATGCAGCAGTCCAATGGCCGTGTTTCGCCATTGATATATGATAATTTGGTGGTCAAGTTACCTACACAATAGTTACCGACCTGGAGCCATTGAAATATGCTAGTCTAGTTACGCACATAATCACGCAGAGTCGGAGTCCAGACGCCAGCCCAGCACTCTCTGATGCTTGGTGAAAATCTTGTCGATGGGTGGGTTTGACCATAAAGCTGTGGATGTTGAAGACGTTTTTCCAGGAAGAGCCACGCAAATTTGATAACTGGCTCGAGGTTCTTTTAATACAGTGCACATATATTATAAACATAATCTACAGAACACCGCACCCTAAAAGAGGAAAAGCACGCCAAATTCGCAATGACTAGGAGGAAGTGAGGATCATTGGAGAAGGAATTATTGCAGAGTATTAATTTGTATCTCAAACACATTTCCCTCTTGGAGTTGGAGGCCCCAAATATAGAAGGTTAGACCGTCCAGCTCCAATGAGACACGTCCGCTGCATCTCTTCTAATAGAACTAAACTTCATCAAGGACTACAAATTCACACACACATTCGGAAGTTGTATAGTTGTTCAAGGGCCTGGACTGATCACCAAGGCTGGCTATTCTGCATCATGCGTAAGATCGGCTGCAGGATACTTTGGGAAAAATTGAAACTTCATGGATCCATGCAAAAGTAGACACAACTACTAGGGTTAGTGGGGCCTTTGGAGGTAAACACCTAAGAGCTGGCTAGCTTACAGGAAAAGAACTTTATCCGGGAAGCAAGGCCCAGTCAAGAAGAGGTCAGGAGATTGTTAGGACAGTCAACAAATTATGCTTTCTTTTTTGTCAAAGCCAGTTAAGACTTTTGATAATTTACAACCCTTAATCCACAGAAAATCACAAAAGCCGGCATCAAATTATGCTTTCAATTCGACAAGAACAGACTAAATCAGAATAGCCTCCTCCTGAAGTTTCTGGTCGTTCCTTGGTAGGTTTTGACTAGCAATCCCACTCCTATTCCTACTCCAACACAAATACTAAGACCAATCCCAACGCCTACTCTTACTCCAGCATTAAACCATGACAGTTCTCCATCCCCTCCTTCTATGTACTCCGTCCCTGGATGACGGCGGCTATAATCTTCCATTTCTGGATCACAATTCTGCTGCTCAGTGACCTGCAATAACACGAAAATGTTTGATGAGCAAAGTAGCAGGGTGAAACAACTTTTTGCAATATAATTGGAACTAGGAAGTTAAATTAAACATTAAGCCCATTCTTTTAGTTCCCTGATATCATGATATAACTACCTACCCTAGTTTAGTTACAAGCAGGTCAACATCCAATGCGGGATTCAAACTACTCAATAAAATCAGCTTGCTTAATGCTTACGAGAAAGAAACGGTAAAAGAAAATGAAAAAAGAGAGAATCAGATATCTCTGAATGTTGAAAAGAACCATGGAAGTGTGCAAGTCATTTCATTTCTTAGCATGCCAGTATCGTTGCTAGGAAAGCTGCTTGTTAATTCATTATGGTAATAACAGAGTATACATAAGAAAGGAACTCCCTATGCCTATGATTGAAGCAGGTTTCACACCATTAGATTCTTAAAAATTGCTGTGTCTTTGTCCTTAGGTGTTTAGGAATATGCAAGGTTGTATTTCAGTCGGAATACTAAGACTGTTGAACAATAACCAAATGTCGTGCTTGCAAATTCAGCAAGGATTTGAAATCATAGACAAAAACGACATCACTATGTCGATACCAAATTCAAATGATTGTAGCTAATGAATTTATCAACCTGCATTCCGTGTATAGATGATGAGTCATCTTTCTGGTTTGCAGTTGTCTCATGTTCTGGAATCGAATCCAGCATTGCCTTCCTCATTTGCTTCCTCTTGTGACCAAGCTGCAGAGCCTTAGTCAGTATAATCGGACAACCTGAAAAGCAACCAGCTACGTAGACTTCGATTGATGGCGAGCCTGACTCCAGGTTCATGTACTGATTTCCCTTGAGGAGAACAGAGCCAACTGGTAAATCCGAGTCGCAATTCAAACTCCAACACCGGTCGTGATTTCTTGAATCTGCGCCAGTAAAGCCGTCACTATTACACAGTTCTAGTGCTCCCGACAGCACAAGAACATCCTTGTCAAAAACCTCAAGTTTCACACTCCCTGTCGTCCTAATACTGTCAGTACTCACGAAGGTAACTTCTTCAGATTTCTTGTCTATCCTATCTCTTCTTAATAGGGTTGATACGCCATCCGAATAGATGCCAGTTCTAACACCATTTACTTCCAGAAGGGTATTGCAGTCCAGGGGAACGTGATTTAAGGTAAGATACTGGGGAGTTGAATCATCGATCTCACATTTGCTAACCCTGACATAGAAAACTCTCAAATCCAGCCAAGATAAAGAAGTCGTGATGCCGCCGGACAGGTGCTTGTAGTGCCTTGGACTAGCAGGGTGGCAGCCATCCTCAGCCACTCCATTGCCATTCTGTTTCCGGTGAAAATTCCCCATGTTCCTCAAAAGGAAATAAATCTCTCTCTTAGTGAAATCCATCAAGGCTCATCTTCTTTGATATGATGGCTTTAAACTCCTCATCAAGAAACAGACCGGCAAGAAAAGATAACCTGTAGAAATGTCAAGCACGATACGAAAGCCACTCAGAGCCAATAGTTCAATTGCCACAAAAGAAAGGAGGGAGAGTAGAGGGACGGAGAAACTTCCAGTTGAAAAGTCGCGCACTACCAAAATGAAACTCGTTAGAAGAAGTAGGAGAACCAACGAAGAGGGAGAGGAGCCTTTCCTAAAAGGAGGTGGAAGCCTCAAGGTATGTATTGAAAGATAGAACCTTGAAGAGGACAAAGAACGCGTCACATAAAAATGAGTCCAAAATTTGTTTCCTTTATTTGAGTCTGAGCAGCAGAAGAGAAGCAAACCACAACGGAAGCTGAGAAACAGGAAAAGAAAAGCAAGGAGCAACTTTGACAGGTAGGAGAAACTGAAAGCACCAGCAGAAGTACACAGATAACAGCGTTGCAATTCCCTTCAAGAGATAAATTCCTAATAGAGAGTTGAATCACAGGCAAGAGAATTTAGAAGCTAAGAAAAAAGGCCCTGCAGAAGGCCCTTGTCCTATAGGTAAACGAGGTTAACCTGTTTTCTACCAGTAATTTCTGGTCATAGAATCATAAGCTACTAAAGTGAAGATTAACATAAATCCCATTTATAAAGTGAATAAAGAACAATTGAATCAGAACTTGTGAAAGAAAATAAATTCTTAAACCTCTAGAGATTCAGGATGTAGGAAACAGTAATTAAAGCTGAATGCTATTTTGCTTCAGGATGTAGGAAACAGTAGTAATTAAAGCTGAATGCTATTTTGCTACTAATTAAGTGCGATCAGAGATATTCACAAACTAGAGACGATGATAAAGGAGAAAAAGAATTACCCCGTACTAGTAAATCGCAAGCACATTCACTAAAGGACAGAATCATGCTCGTCATACCAATATGAAGAAACAAACAAAAGTCTTTGCAGGTTGTGCAGTGGGAGTGTGCGTGTTTAGATGGCTGCGTGCATAAACACCTACAGATCCAACGAAACTACAACCACTACTAATAACACACAGGCTGCTCCTTGATTCCGTTACGTGGTATACAAACATATGGCACAACTACTCACCAGCCAGACGCCCACCACAAATATCTTCGCTTCCGATGCAACTCTCGGCTTGATGAGTCACAGGCCTCTGTTTTCCAGTTCTTCAACTTCCAAATATGAATAAACAGTGGAAACCACTCCGAGAAGTTCTTTGTTTGAAAGCTATTTTTCTTTAAAAAAAAATTTTTAACACATCTTTCAATCACCTCTTCAACGTCACGTCACGTACATCAAATTAAATTCCTACCGCATATTTTTCTGCAAATAGCAATCAAGTCAATTCTCCGACAGGAAAAGAACAGAAATACACAAAGAACGCACCAGCTAACTCAAACTACATAATGTCAGAAAATAGGAACAACCCAAGTGCTCAAATTTCACACTGAGAAATGGGTTGTCCTCTGTCTCTGCTTTTCCGATGTTGGTAGAGGTACAGAATCAATCACACGAGAAAACATTTAATTAAACTAGGTGGGGTGGTTAACAGTAAACAAAACCAAACAAGATGTAACGTTTCGTTTGGTTCTTTCTTTATATTAATATGTACACGTACATTACTCCCTCTAATATCCCGGGTTTGAATTCTAATCTCGCTCCCATCAAACAAACAAACAGGAAAAAAAAAACTCTAATCACACGACTAATCAAAGACGGTGAGGAAATAGACGACGCAAATTGCATGTGTTGTTAGTGCAAATAATGATGGAGATTTGGAAAAAGTGGACGTGTCTAAGATTTTTGAGTATCTTATCCTGAAGAGAGAGAAGATGTGAAACGAGATGGCATGGGGGGAGAGGCCAGCACCCAGCAGAGAGGTTGACAAGGCCGATGATGCAGTGAAAGGGATGTGCAAATTGAAATGCCATTATCATCATATCATATCGGATTTGGAGTTTGGACGACTTGCATGCATTTCAAACAATTACTGCTACACGGCAGAGAGGTCTACTCTACTCTACTGCAGTAACTACTCCCTTCAAAACTGGGAATGAAGCACGCCGAAACTGATCGTCACGTTTTGTACCTTGGGTTTGGAAGAAATCTTCTTACGGACGGAAGCCCAAAAAAAAAAAAAATTAACTCAACAACTAACTCAATCCTTAAATAACTCCTCAATCTTCTTACTACCTGATTGTTGGAGACTTATTAGAGATGGTCATGAACTAACTCAATCCCTAAGTAACCGATCATTGTTGTTAAGATTCCCATTAAGCACTTGGTTGCTTTTTTGTTTTTACGATGGATGATCTACGTGCGTCTTCATGTTTTTCCGTCGGTTCTCTCTCCCTTTTTTTTATAAAAAAAAATACCTTTCTTTTTTGGGTTGAAATGGTCCTGTCATGCCTATCCGTGATGACCAAACTTCCCACACACTACACAAATTACGCCCTGGTAGAATTTGCATTGCATTTGTCTATTAAAATTTTTTTTGCATTTTTCATAAACACATTTACTAGTAATCTTTTCACCTTACGTATTATCTATACATTTTTTTTTGCAAAAATTTCAAGAAATAACGCTGGCTTTTTATTTGCACACAGTCCCAAATCCGAACGTCTTTCCTAAGCGCATCTGAAGTTGCCAGGTTCTTTTAATTGAGCACTAAAAATCCAATGACTGAAGGCCTTCTTTATTAACCCTTTTTTCCAAAAAAAAATTTAACCTTCCTTATTAATTATTTTTTTTTCTTTAATAAAAAAGGCATACATACAACTTCGAGCCGAGCCGTGACAGTGGTGTAATCGGGGAGGCCATCCAGATCCAGTCCCATTGGGCTGCGCCCAGATTCCCTATAATTTCTGATCTCCACACAACTAACTAATAGCCTACCAGACAGAGATGAGGACTGAAGGAACACGTGACCCAAGCGTCCGGTATTCATCCTCTTCATGCAACGCCCACATGGCCCTATCGCAAGGCGAGACAAGCTTCCCAATGTTTTTCTCGTCCGGTCTTAAATGTTTTCCTCGTGCAAAACAAAAGTGGTGGCCGGCTAATCAAATACAAAAAGCATGATCTAAAACCAAGCTCCCCTTTGGATGGCGAGTTTTTTTTGAGTCTTTCTTTGTGTAAAGTTTGACTGTAACTCATTTTAGAAAAATTTTTTTGTACAGTCGAGTGTTTGAAAAATGTGTAAAAAAAAAAAACTTTTCAAACTTGTAACCATCTCTAGCTTATTATTAGGTGTGTTTAAGGAACCCAACCAGAGGCACTTGCTTGCATCATCACGGGAAAAACAAAAAAAAAAAGGATTTTTTTTTTGTTTTTTAACAAAAAAAATAAAAAATTAGACACCTGGGTCTGACGACATTTTTGAATCTTATCAGGCATACAGCTTCATGTACAGTATCGGGGCAATTCAAGTTGCTTAAAGAAAATCTCTAGACTTCCCTTTGCCTTGATATTGCAATCATTCTTTTTTCTGGCACCAGACAAAAGTACGCGACTGGAAAATAATTAGGAACTAGTATAAAAGCAAAATTAGGCACCATATTGGAAACGTACTACCAAATTCTCATGGTTGCACAAAAGAGAATACAATCACGGCTACTTCCAGCTTGTAGGCAAGTTTCAAATGATTCTTTCTATCAAATCAGTGAGCCTGCTTTATAAGTAAGCCAAATCAAAACAACTAAGGACTAGTCCAACGGGTAAAGTCTTCAACAGGCTTCTCGGCAAAAGGCAAAACCTAAATCAACGTCTTTGCTTTTTCCGCCCCTCCTTTCATTTCCAAGATCTTTTTATTTTTTTTGGGTTGTGTCACCGTGGGGAAGGGGAAGGGAAAAAGTAGGCAGCGAAATGGGGCTTGAGCACATTTGATAGAAATGTATTCCACCCTGGCAACAATAACCTATCATCTGTCAATTTTCAGCATCCTATCACTAACATGAAAGGGGATACGAAAGATAACACCTATAGATGAAAATCAACAAAAGCACTCTTCAAAGCTACAGTGGATACCCTTACTCAAGAATTCATGAAAGGATACGGCTAGGGGAAGGTTTGGGACTGGACAGAAGTAGTAGAAGAGAAACCGGTCAACTGCAACCCGGAGCTTTGTCACCGTGGAACAGCAAAGTCTAATGCATTTGTAGAAAGAAAAAATGAAGGCAAATCAGCGAAAAGTTTTTCTGGTAAGTGTTCTCAAAGATCATTTATAGTAAATTCAGCTGCAACAGTAATAGATTATGAAAGCTGATTGAGTTCCCAACTTCTGTTACTTATGCAGTAGTAAGACCACTATGACCATCTATTACTATTGGTTGCCGAGTCTCATCTGATGGGAGGATAATCCAATTAACTTTCATGCTTCTTAAATAAGCTTAGAGATGATAGACTTTAAGACTCAAACCAAGTGTAGGGGGGGAAATAAAAACCTTCCCCAACATTTCAAGGAGATAGCATCAGGAAAGTTTAAACAGGACATTTAGGACAACAGATAATGAAGCACCCCAAGGAGCACCAGAGGTTTGTGTTTACCGTTCATTACCTCTATTGGATAATGAAGGGTGGGTGGATGATTGAAGTAAAGAGGAGGAGTGATATGATTGGTAAACAAAGTAGGAAGCATCACACCAGGCAAAACTATGGTGCTCTTCCAGTTCCCTAGCAAAGGGTAATGGTGGGTAAAATCAATAACTTTCACATTACAAGTACTTTCACCCACAAGAAGCATTTCATTCCCAACATAGGTGTATCAATACAAGTCCATCAAATGCAGGTATAAAACAATAGCCACCTCAAAACTCAAAATTCAGCAGATTCTGGACAAAGAAATTGTTAGGTATATATAATCCTCTTACATACTTCTGGAAAAATACCCACTCAAGCCTGTTTAGTAAAAGAAGAAAGATTCTTCAGTACAAGCAGAGAAGACCAGCAGTCAGAAGAATAAAGTCTCAAAAAACCAGAGAAGAATAGACAAATGAAATTATACAGAAAAGGCTGCCCTTCAACCTCACCCAAAAGGAATCCAAGACAGAATTCCTCCATATCCCAATCAGCAACATGAAACACAATCATCATTGGGGCAAATGGGAAGCAAATAATATCACTTGTTATCAGCGGGTGTTTACCCAAAAGCAGCAAACTCAAGCTAGTTATTGAAATCAATCTAATTCCAACATCAAAAGGGGTACAGGAACTTCAACCAAAAAAGAAAAAGGAAGTATCCAATTGCCTTCTGGTGGTACCCCAGCGAAATCTTGTCACAAAGGTATTGCAAGTCCTATACCACCATCAAATACAACAAGCTCATGAGAACGTAATAGACAATTACTCGATGAATTCTGTGTACAGCTACGAAGTTTGTAAAGGATTATCTAATAAGTGCACTTACTGTAATCATTTAGACCCCCAAAATCTTAAATGAACACACAAAACAGCTTAATTCCCGAAACAACTTTCAATCACTTCATATATAGACTACATAACACAAAAAGGATACGGGAAAAAAAAAGTCAAAATCGTTGAACCATAGTGAGCTAAAGATTAGGAAAAGAATAGAGACCTTGAGAGAGGAAGCTCCAGCACGAGGAATCAAAGGCAATACTGGACCTGAGACGAGCTGAAGCTATGGCGCTATGAAGCGGCATCATCGAC